CAAAGATTTTGATTCGATTCTTTTATTCGATTCTTAGGATAAAGAATCGATTCTCAAGAAAATCGAATAGTAAAGAATCGATTAAAAGAATCGATTTTTTGGCCAAAATAATCGATTTTTTAAGTAATCGAATCAAAATCGAACATCCCTAGTGCGGACTTCGGGTCTTACTCCAGGACCCTCTTAAGTACTGGGACACGTTTAATCACTGGGACATTTACCTTACTATCGAGTACGCGACTTTGCAAACGCGTTCTACGACTTTTGTAGATTTGGCTTTAGCTTGTGGTTATAAAAAGTTCTATTCGGTGCGTCTAGATGTCGCACAAAGTCCATGGGGAGTTTCCATTACGGTAACGGCCATTTCTACGCTATCTTCTCATGGTTCGTATTACTGATTTTATCATATCTTTTCTGCGAATAAGTCAAAGTATCGATTTCACAACTTTTCAGAATATCAAAAATCTTCGATAAATTGTAGCAATAAAAAAATTGCGCCTCGCATCAAAAACTAAGTATTCGAAAGCAGCCGCTTCTCCGTTTTTTCTTTGTATCGTTTCTCTTGTGATTTGTGACAGCGAGATTTTGCAAAGGTTGCAAACTTGAGACAAGAGGGAGATATGAGGTAGATGAACTTGATAACACACACAAAGAGGTAAGATGTACATATAAATATATAGCATCAAGATACAAATGAGAAAATGCATTTATTATCATACGAAAGGAAGATATAAAAATTACAAGAGAATTTTACGTAAAAATAAACACTAAAATGGATTTAGAGAGGTACCACCTACATTTATTATAGGTATACGGCGAGCTATCAAGTGTTCCGCTTACGGTGAATTGCGCAGCACTACAATCGCGGCTCGTTAAAGAGAGAGCGTATCTCTCGGGGGAGTTAGTGTAATTATAAATAAACGCGAACGAGACGAGAGCGCGTGAAATATCGTCGCGTCCGCACTCGTCTTCAATGCACGACGATAGTCTGCTTGCCCGAGTCCGCCGCAGTCGCCTTTCACAAACGAATTCCTGGGTTTCGGGACGCGACGAAGTTTAGGAGCTCGTCGCTGTCCTCGCAAACGAAAGGTTTCACGTGGTGACACGCGACGTCGTGCCACTTGATGCCGTCGTTGTAGAAGTTGTTCAAAATTGACAGACAGGACTCGTCGTTACCCTGCGAACGAACGAGGTAAAAAAAATTTGTCTCTTATAAGAGTTTTCAGTTCTTAGATTATTTCTACGCGATATGTGTTGATGATAATTTGATTTTCTTTGCCTTACGCATTTACTATTACACGATCTCTCTATAAACGATTCTCCTGTACGTGATTTATAACGAAATTAAGAGAGCGAGACGCGCGCCAGCTGATAAAAATTGCTAATGCGAAAGGTCATGTATATAAGAAGATAAATCCGGAGGATGCCAAAGAACTTTCACTTTACCCCGCGAGAATATAAATCAGAGTTTCACGGGGTCGTTGCTGCACCAAAGGAAAGCGTGTTAGAACCGATTGCCCTGCTTAGCGATGTCTCAACGGAATATCTCTTTTGTTCGCGAATTGAATTCATTTAATTTAAGATGCGCGCAAAACAAACCAACAGTTTACACACTCGCTAAAATTATAATGTACACTACGTGCGGAATATAGTTTTTTTTTTTCTATAAACACACTTAGAGATCGTTTCCTAATTTCGATAAAATTGTAAATAAATTCTCAAGAAATTTTTTTTTATAGAGAGAGAGAGAGATTAAATGGATTTTTGTTTATATGTTATATTGTTAAAGAAAGTCGCATACCTGTGCAGCTTCACGGTTATCTGGTTGCGGTTGACCGTATCCACCTGTATTGCTCCAGTCTCCGGTATTACGCTGATTCGTCGATCCGATTTTGGCTCCAGATCCGGACCAGAACCATCCGTTGATATTCTGAGGTTGAAGATCCGGTCGGTCGCAGCCGTTGAAGTTGCACTTACGACCAGATGTCCAAATGTATCTCACATTTCCTGACGAATAATAATATCTCGATGCAAATTTTCCAGAGAAACCGAAAGTCTTTCAATTAAAATTAAACTTGTCGACGAACAAGGAAGTTTCGACAATTTTTTGATAGATATTTGTATAAAATCAAACAAAATTTAGAGAATCTACAGAACTTTATTGCGCCCGTAGTTTTACTCGCGAATCAATTAAGATAAACCGCAACAATACGAATGTGCGATGAACTAATAGAAGAGACAGTGAACCCGCGTTCGTGTGCACGGCGCATTTGTCTGTGTAAAGAAAACAAACTTCTGTTTCAAGCCAGAAACTATGTTTAAAACGATATTTCCTTGTAGTGTATCTCAAGTCTGTGGTTTCCCGCAGCACGAGGAGAATCAGTTTTTCGAGTCTCGAGATTCGTCGAGTACCTAAATTAAGTTTATTGCGCGGCACCATGTCTGTATTTATCATCAATTACAGGTAGATTGATAATTCGGATATATCCAGCTTACTGAAAATTATTGATTTCCTGCTGTTCACTTCCTAAATGAACTTTGCAGTATTATATAATTCAGGCGAAGAAATCAAAACCTTTTGGTTGAGTGCAGTGCAACTTAAAGATCCTTTCTCTATAAACCAGCGCACTAAGAATAATAATGCGTATAAATACTCGATCTAGCGATAACGAGGCGTCTTATGGCTCACGGGAGGGATTGGAAGACAAATCGCTGAATCGCAAGTATCTACATAAAGTTCCTTTCACATCGACTATTTTTTTTTGTTTGTTTTTTTTTTTTTGTTTTTTTTGTTTGTTTGTTTTTTTTATGTTTCTGCACGAGGCATCAACAGTCAAGTGAAAGTGACCCGCTTCGTCGAGCATAGGGGAACATCTCCGCGGATCTCTAAGTTGCAACTTGGATTCCTTGCAACGCGGCGGGATCAAGCGCGCGGGTCGTGAACAACAAGTGACGAAGAGAAATGACGAGCTGTCGCCACGCGAATTGCGCCACCAAATCCTAAGCCTAATCGGTCGCGCGAGAAACCCTCTTCGCGAAACCTAATCGCAATATTGTGCAATCGAACTTGCAAATTGTCCGACCAGAGATTTGCTTTTACTTCTCACGCGCTTCAGAGAGTTGTCTACTTTGTTGTGGATATTCGCAAGATTGTATTACGAAAATTGCACTCAAAACTTTAATGAGATTCCGCGCGTTGCTCGCGCGCGTCTCTCCTTTCGAACTTCTTAAATCCTCTCAATCCGGTAGATTACAATTAACGAGTTTCATTACCGTGGAACCTAAAATTCATCGTTTGAACACGGTTCTCTTCAAGAGGTTGCAGAATACGGAAGACATCGATTATTACTAGATTGAGCTGAGTAATTGAGAGAGAGAGAGAGAGAGAGAGAGAGAAAGGGAGAGAGAGAGAGATTGTTTCTTGTTTTTCTACCATTTATTACAAGAACTTTGTCGGCAAATTATATACAAGGATGTGCTGTATGTAATTTAAATAATTCCCGAGTTTAACTATGCGCGAATTTACAAACTCTCTCTTTCTCTTTGCGATCAACCTTACCATGAATTGAATCGATAATTTTCCATTAGTGTTTCCCGCGAAAAAAAATGTAAAATATATTCAGAAATGATATGTTCGGCGTGTTATGTCTTCACTAACATCTTGCCTTCACGCATAGAAACCGCGACGTGAACGAAAACATTTGAAATAAAATCATTTGGTACGACATTGACACATTTGTTACGAAATCTTTGATCGGAATGTGAATGCGATCAATAATTAATATTGTTATTTCTTAATCTTTACGACTTATCAGTTGTGTTTATTCGATATCACGAATCTCTCTTTCTCGCGGGTGTAAAAAAGTGTCGGCGTGCGTAACAATCGAGAGAGCAATAATATATGCAAAACTGAGAATAATTGCACACGAGCGATTGAAAGGATAGTTAAGTTGCGAGTGAGATACGTATAATTAAATTAGCGTCATTGAAACTTAATTGGTTACTATTAATAAATATGACATCTTTGAGAGAGATATAAACAACGAACACTCTTAGATCTGTTACACGTCAGTTTTCCAAATCGTCGAAATCTGCAATGTACAGATTGATGGTTCACGAATCTTTTTTTTTTTTTTTTTTTTAAAAGCGAAGATTATTCGCAACGCGTTCGTTACACAATATGATTTTCATAAGGAATCAGTCTGACGGATGGATCTCGAGAGAGGCTGTCGTTGCGATATATTAGCTCACCTCTCGCCAATCTTGCTTTGATGAATTCGTTCTCCTGAGGAGTCTCCAGAGACACGGCGTCCATGCAGTGACGACGGCAGATGTTGCGAGCGTCCAACCAGTCCACCTCAAGGCTTCTAGTCGGCGGATGTTCCCAGCTGAAGAAATACGAGTGACCGACTCCTCTGGCATCTCTGTACGTCGCGTGACGAACGCCTGAACGAATGAACACACGTTAATGCGTCCATAATAATATCATCAATCGCCATTATAATTTTATATTATTTCACTTTCGACTGACTTCTGATTACGTTTTTATTATCGCTCGAGTCATGAAAATGTTTTATTACATCTCAGGAAGACAGATCATTTTACAGCTATTATTAAAGCGCGCGCATATGAATGTAATAAATATTCATTTTCTCTCAAAGGCAAACAACAGTTTTTTATACGTCAAACAATTTGCAGCGAGATGCGATTGCGAAATGTCGCTGGAAGCACTTACGGCTCGAACAGCTTCGCGGATCGGGCAAGGCTAGACGACGCTGGGCACTCACGGCGACAACGCCGAGGAGGAACAAGTAGATGGCCCTCATGTTTCCGGATCTTAAACAGAAGAAGAAAACGAATATTTAAATTTCCAGCGAGAAAAAAAGTGCCACCAAGCAAATAAGTACAGACTGGTATTGTAGAATTTATATCCAGATAGCCAACTGAGTGCAAGTTGTTGGCAACTTGCCACAAATATTACTCATATGTTTTCAGCAATGTAACAAAAGGGTGTATCCTCTTTTCAGTATGTTCTTGCCAACAACAGTTTTCAAAATATAATAACAGCAAGTTCTCAACAACTCATCGGCAATAAACTTATATTAATTTTTCTCAACTTATGAATAAAAATTATTGCTCGTATATTGCTCACATATTGCTGACTCACATGTCCTAAACATTGGCTACAACAATTGATTGATAAGAAAACTCAGCATATTGATACTGAATTGACAAAAACATTTTCGTTGCGTTAAATAAAAACAACACAACAGCAATTGGCGAGCAACTTAATCCATACAATGATTTGCTTTATATTGAGTTTTCACATTTGGCTATCTGTGGGGTACATAGGTAAACAAGCTCATACTTCTCCCCTGAAACGAGAACGCTGAACATTTACCAACGACGTTGAAACTGTTCGGTTTGAGGTTACGAGGTTACAAGAGTTTTGTTACACCCGCATGTGCTAAATTCGTGGGTCTCTGACGAGAATAAAAGTGTTTTATATTTAAATTTTCACGAAATGTTTCACGAACATTCGAACGATCGGTTACATCGTCATAATTATTGTCATTTCCCATGTTTCTGATTCGATTTGAAGCGAATAATCGAATTGTGATCCTTCCAAATTGATTTTGCGCTACACGCGTAAACGTCGTCGGCGTGATAGGGTTTGCTAATGACTATCGTTCGTCGATGGGACGAACGCCAAGCGAACCACTTTCTAAAAAGATCACAAACGCTATGAAGCGAAGCGAAATAGATTTTATAGAGCGACCGAGTAAAAACGACTCTCTTTGCGAGAGATCTTTCGTATCATCCGTCCGACTATTGAAGCCTTTTTGATTCGTTGAAGGAAAGCGACATTTCGCACAATTGCGGAAGCAATCGAAGAAAACCGATCTACGTTTTTCTCGGAATCTCTGTTAAATTTGATTGCAACCCAAATCTGCTGATAAAAAAAAAACACACTTTCAACAAATGCCTCGAAGCTTTCACATCAAATGCGTTTAAATCGAATTATTTAGAGGATAACGTAATTAACTGCGTTTTAAAAGTTACGATCGTATTTTTCAGATATTGGACTGAGAAATTACGACGATACAGAGAATATTTTGGAGCGATATATTTATATAGTAGCTGTGCTACTTGTCCAAACGTTATACTTGAGTCATCGCAGAGATACGCGTGAGAGATTATATGCGACTTGACGCGAAGGTGAATGGTGTTCTTATACGCATTATAATAATCATTAATATTTATGTGACACTGACTGCAAACTGACCCGAGCATGAGAACATCTCGCTTTTCAGACGTGAGAAGTGAAAAAAGCCTTGAACCAATGTCTTCTTCAAAACGATGCCACCGAATTGTCTCAGATTTGATGTTGAGATAAAGTGAAGTAAAATTGTATGGAGCGTTATCTCGCCTTTCATCTTATTTATCTTTCACGGTAGAATGACTATCCGATAATTCTCCGTAAGTATCTCGTTTTTCTTCTTGGCGCGTAGTCGCCAATTAGAAGCGTAGGAGTGAGACGGTAATAACGTGGTGGCAACACGCGTGTGTTAAAAATGTGTATCGCGTGAAATGAAGTGTCCAGATTGAAAGTTAATAGCCCGACTTGTTAAAATAGAGGTTGATGGGTTATGAGAACGGTAGACGATATTTAGCGGGACATATAAAACGCGTAGTGGATGAGATCGGAGAAAGAAAGTCGGCTCGATCGAATTTCTACCATCTTTTATATATATGTATATATACATATATATATATATATATATGCGCCGTCGCTATCTGATCTAAAACTACCGAGGAACATTCGCGAAATAACGCACGCGACGACGCCGCGGATTCGGTTGTTGATATCGAGCCTGGTTGTGCAAAATTCCATTGTTGCGAAACACAAACACTTTTCCATGCACCAAGCGCGAACGGATCTCATTAGTGTGCACCTTCGCAAAGTGTATACGCAATTTTTCCTCTTTTTGAAACTTTATCTCCTCTCCTAGATGCGGAGAAGAGATTCCTTTAATAAAAACTGCAAACGTAGAGACAAACAATCGGCACGCAAAAAGATACGTGGAAAGAGACGCGAGCGGAGGTTCACTTTTTCACGAACCCGTTCGTGAACCGCAACATGTACGCGTCGCGCATACATGGTCAGCGTTTAAGTAATCTGGAGGTGTAGTGGCACGGCTGGAAAAGAAAAATCAGAGTTCAATGACACCGTGACCAGCAAGTCAGTATCTGCATTCTTTGCAGTTCACGTCGGTCGATGTCTCGTGTGCGAAGAAAATCCCATCGCTCGGTTTTTCACGGCGGGGAGAAAATTTGTAATGTAAAATCGAAAAGTATTTTTTTCATCAAAACATTTTTAACTAAATTTTCTTCTGGCTGATGGTTTTGTTGTTTTGAGCGAACAATTAGCGCGCGAATACAGTTTCTGAGATTTTTCTCACACTGCTTTATCATGTCTCTCATCATATGCGGAAACTGCTAATGTATTGCTGTTACATTGATGCAACGGCAGTTAATTAACGTAATTCTAAGGTAGGAGCGCTAATTTGTTGCGGCGCGCACCGTTATATTGCTTTTTCGCGCAAATCGTGCAACACGATGTTTCGTGGTTTTAAGGGTAAAACCTATAGGATGTGTTACATAAAGGCAATTAAATCGTCATCGTCTTTTTATGGGTAATTATAACGTTGACATAGGGAGCAGGGCTAAACCACTGAAAGTTGCTCAATATTGTTTTATTACGTCATTCTTTTGGAAAGATGTTGCTTTGTGCAACTAATTACGTCTTCCCCTGGATAATCGTTCACTTTTTTATTATCCAAACATGGGAAAGACAACTCACTTGGGTGGTGGAATAATGACGAAAAGCGATTGCGTTTTTTGCGATTATTTCATGGATCTGTTGCCGTGTGTTCGCGTGCTAGCATTCGAATCACCTTCGAGATAAAAAGAATTCTTTGCACACATGTCGGAATAATGTAATACAGAAAAAACAAAAACAACAACAAAACACAATATTAGTTATTTATTGATCTGATTGTATTCCGTGAAACTGAAAGTCTCGCTGTGAAGGTTTAAAAATAAATGATAAATTTCCAGAGATAAAACGACGTTTTAGCAACAGCCTAGAGATCACGACTTAATGTAAATTTTTATTACTCTCACGTATGCTGATGAAATATATTCAGGTGTTAAAATAACTTATACTGAGATAATCGAAGAATATAAAACGCGAGACGCGATTTTCTTATGACTCGTCGAAATCAGATCCGGGAGAATTCCGGAATTCCAAAGTTGGGTATCGCTTGCTCTTCGCACGATACTAAATCTGGATGAAAATTTATTCAATATGATGTAACACAATTGCTTGGGTACCTATGAATAATGTAGCACGAGATTGAGCGTCGGGACGACATAAAATTTACGCGTTACGAAATTCCACATTAAAATCAATACATTAAATCTGCACGCAAGTGCATTATTTTGCGTACAAGTGCGAGAAATTAATATTTATCGTGGAAAAAAAAAAACATTTGAGAAAGTTAAATACAAAAAAGAGCGCGCTATAATATCGGAAAAAAGTAAAACTCTCGGGTTTTTTTGTTTCTCGACCGATCGATACGGCGCGTTAGTTTCGAGAGAAAAGTGTTGTTCCAGAATCGGCTCGTTAGTCTGATTCGTTAGAGGAAGACGTGATACATCGCCTGAGGGATTCTTGTGCGCGAAGAGGCACGAGAGAATCGAGTTTGACGACCGTTGTCTCTCAGACTCTTTTTAAGTGTAATTTATAGGATGTCATGCGTGCGACGCGCTCAGTCGTGTGACACGTATGACAAATTAGAGAAACGTATTTTCTGCACGCTATTTTCTTTTTTTTTTTTTTTTTTTCGAAACGAATGTAGAGACTCAACAATGCTGAGATTTGCGGTTTGCGGGTTTAAACTGATGACACGTTGCGTTTGCAGGTGACACGGAGAAGATTAATAATAACAACATTCGCACGGCTGTACGCTCGTTGCATCGCACGAAGAAGTCTCTTGTGCGAAGATATCGATAGACTCCTTAGCGAGTCACATACCCTGTAATTTAACAAATTTGCAGCAATCGCGCATTACAGTGATTATCTTCTTCTTTACATGTACGTTGAAAATGATGGTAGCGCTATTTTAACGAGCCACGACGTAACAATTTGTCTGTTACTTGCGCCGAACTAATCTCAATGATCATTCAATTACAGATAAATGAAAAAAAAAAAGAGAGAATCAAAACCTCGTCGACCGAGTGGCACCTGTTCGTCGACCTGGAGTTTTCCAGGTATTTGTGAGACGCGGTCGCGCCATTCAGGCATTCGCGTGAACAGGAACAAGAATAAAGTATGAGAATGAGAACCGTAGGTGTATAGAATAACGACGTCACTAGAGAATGAATGTGTGTGCGTGTGTGGGTACTTCACGCACGCACGCGCGCGCGCGCGTGTGGACCACATCGTAACCGTTAGCTGGCCGTCTTTACGTCCAGCCGGCTCTCTTTTACGTGTCTCATACAGTCCGTCCGAGATGGACTTTTGTTAACGGCAGTGCTGTGCCGTCGTCGATGTCTGTTCCGAGGAATCCGACACGACACAAACAAGGCGAGGCAAGTCTCGTCGCGTCTATATATTTTTTTAATTTAAAAATAGATTAAAAAATAAATAGAAAGATAATAAAATAAAAAAATAAAATAATAAAAATAAAATAAAAATAAATAATATATAAAAATAAAATAATAAAATAAATAAAATAAATAATAAAGTAAAAGTAGAAAAATCTATTTTTAGATTAAAAAAACGTAGACGCGACGAGTGTCTCATTCGAGATTTCGTGTCACTTGATTAATGATTTTCGATTTACTCGAGTTATATTTGGAGACTTACTTGTTTGCGCACTTTAATATGGAAACGCTCTCTCTCTCTCTCTTTCTCTGTCGCGAGTGATATCGGAAGAAGATCTAAAAGCCGAGATAGCAATCTTCGTCTCTTAATTATGCCGAAACAAAGTAATCTTCACTTTGTTTGTCCCGATGTTAAAGCTCGCTTCCACTCAAGTTGCGCAAAGTTGTTGCTGTTAAAATATTTGTATTTAACATGACTTCTTTTTATTGTTGTCCATAATATGTTGACGACATTTATGTGACTAACGTTCCGTCTCGATAACATCAACAAATTGTGCGCGCGCTCGAGAAAGCGATAATTTTCACTCGCGTGAATTTAACCACCTACGAGAATCATATCTCAATCTCGTTTCTCTTGCTTTGTTTTGCACAATGCGCGACCGAGGGAGATCCTTCGAGAGAGGATCCCGTGTGTGTCAACGTTGACTCGTTACCCACATGAGGTGTCGAAATCGGGTGATAGCGAGCGGACGACGACGACGACGACAACGACGGTGCACAATCGCGTGCACTTTCCACTCTCGTCTCTCTCTCTCTCTCTCTCACTCGCGAAAACGCAATTATCTGAAAAGCATTTATTTCGCAAGAAATCGGCGACGATACAACTTTACGACGTTGTATTAAAGAGTCGGCAAAATTTTCTTGCAAACTTTACGAGAAGAAAAACACCGGAGAAGAGCGCCGCGAGTGAAAGGATTTATATTTCGAAGGTGATGCGGATCATTAGGAAAGTATCTTAAAAGAAGAATTTGCCTTTTGCACATTTAACGTTCTGGGGGCACCCGTGCGTACAGTAATCGAGATAAAAAAAAAAAACACAGAGTGCAGGGCGCACCTGCCTGATCCTCTTATGTAATCGCATTTTACTTGAGTGTGTCGTTACTGCGAAAAAAAAAAAAAGGATAAAATGTCAAGAAACTATCCTAATACCAAATGAAGTATATATATTTCGCAAAGACTCGTTAAGAGCCTTAAATCTCCCGGTGAGAGGCGGCAGTACATCTTTTTCTTTTCACAGCTGACCTAAGCACCGTAAATGACCGGAGGTGAACCATTCGCGGGAATAGATTTCACATGGTCATGGCGCGTAGCGCAACACACTTTTATTAATCCTATTAAAAAGAATTTCTACGTATTTTAAGCTATTAGAAGTTGTTTGGCAAGATCGGCACATCTCGACAAATCAATTTGAAGCTCCGGAAAGTGATGAAAATAATACGGTGTAATTGGTGGCGTGGTTACGACATGTAAAAATATAGAGAGAAATCGTTAACTTTACCGCGCGCGGTTTGCTCGTTAATATGGTTTTACTACGTATGAGTGAATTTTATTTTCATTTTTCACCGTGTTCATATTTTATAAAAGTGGAATAATCTTTCTTATTTCTCTGCAAAGAGATAAAAGAGATGCCAATTTTTTAAGTAAAACTTTATCTTGCTGCAAGTATTTTTCTACCAAGCTTGTTTATTCTATTTAAACATCTTTTTGTCAGGAAGTTGCTGATGTTTGAAAAAGAGTGTGTGTGTGTGTGTGTGTGTGCGTGTGTGTTCTGTCACACACTAGTAAAAGGGTGATAAGTATCGTTCTACTTGAGTGACTCCTTGACATTCGAAATTAGCGAGGAAGCGTGCGGAACAGAACGAAAGTAGTCGAAAGAGGACACGCGAGTGCAGATGAGAAGCTGCCTGGCAGCTTCAGAGGTGCTTTCGAAACGCGGTCATCTCGAGATGATAAAAAAGAAAAAAAAAGATTGTTCGGGGTCAATAATGCGTAATTCATCTGTTACGAATTACTCGAGTTAAGCAATTAACTTGCGTAATTCTAGCGAGTTGTTCTTGTAACAAGATTTTATTGCAAAAAAGAAACAATCTCACACACACACACACACACACAGAATAAGTCCAGAGTAAATTCAGATCTTGATTTTGTGTTGAGAAATAATGTTTTAAATTTTTAATTAATAAATACAAGATATCGATAATTTAGAAGTAATTAAAAGTTAAAAAGAAAACAAAACAAAACTTTGTGGCAAGCCAAAAGAGAGATAAACAATTAATAATTATTTTTCAAACAAGTTCTCTAGTTGAATAATTATCAACAAAAAACAACATCCTTACGTAAAAATCTTTCTCACATTACGAAGTCAACGTTTTAGATTAAGGACTAACTGGGACAGTTTCTAGTTTATGCGTTTTACGTAAATATTGTTGTAATTACGTACTTTCTTCTGCAAAAGTCTCTTTCATCCGTCTCTATGAAAATAATAATATCGTCCACTTCTCTTTCTGCCTTATTATTAACATAATTACAAGACACACGAGAGATGTTTCCACTACGTAAAAATTAACGTAAGAGCAATGTGGAGTATTCAACTGTAACGTATAGAGTATTCATTAGCAGATTTACCTTCTGAGAAAATATAACTGTAATTTGCAATCTGTAGTGTGACTACAGAAATTCTTTTTTTTTTTTCCGGATGGAAATAAAACAATTTGTTATTAAAATTAGCGTCACATTTTTTGAAACAATCATACAGGCATTAAACGTGTTTTACACACAAATTAGAGATAACATCAAGCGGAATAAGAATGACTTGAACGGCCATGCTACATACAACAAAAGCTCATAAATCGTGACGCAATTTTTATTTCCCCTAATGTATTCTCGTAGCGTTTTTGTTTCCAAATTAGAACGCCTTCTAACAAAGACAGGAACTCCCAGACTCGCGCAAACGATTGTGTCATCGTCTAGTGTTAATTTTGTAATTTATATATATATAAAAAAAAAATAAAAAAAAAACAAACTTTTCATATTTTTATTTTGATACGAGTGAAGTATCAACATTTAAAGCTGGCACATGCTGATACATGCTTGACGTAGCACAGAAATATAATAACTTACACAACTAAACTATCGTGAGTGGTAACTCGCTCACAATTATCGGAAAATAAAAAAAATCTCGTACTTACTTAAAAAAAGTTGCGGTCCTCAAAAATGTGTGTAATTGGTCCACGATCCCTTTTTTTTTTTTTTTTTTTACTGCCGCCTCTTCTCTTCAGAGCTCAGATTTACCTAAAGTAAGCGAGCTACGAGAAGAGACTTGGTGTGCCCCGGATGGATCGTTCGACAACAAGAAGAAGAATCAAAAGTCGAGAGTCTATCCGAAGAATCAGGAATACGAGGAAGGAATGAACTGGCAGATATTCGCGAAGAGCCGGTATATAGTCGGCCCACATTCCCTGGTGGCACAAGTAACCTAAATTTCTCCCACCAGAACGAAGCATCATCCTCATCAGGGTCTTCCACAAGGTGGGATCACCCCACCTGTCCCGCACCCGTCGTCACGAACCGTATACACCGACTCGCACAGCGCGTTATCCTTACCTTCGTTCTCTTCTCGTTGCCCCCACCAGGTCGAGCGAGATCGACGACGGTCATCGTCGTTTCGAAAACTCTTCTTGTCCTGGCAATCTTCGACAATGTTCGAGATTGCCGTATCCCGCTGTGAGAAAACAAAAAGTTTCGTTGAATGAGTGACGGTCGCCCTGGTTCAAGTAAATGTCAAATTATTTGGGCGTGTTGGCGCAATTCTTATTGCCGATGCAATTCAAATATTCGTTGCACTTATTACGTAAATTTGTCGATCGAACTCGATTCGACTTTAAATAAATTCGATTTCATTTCAGAATATATGTTTCGCGAGATTTTTGTTCAAATAATTAGCACGTCTATATTGCGGATATTGAAATAATATATATATATATACGGCAGTATGCGTCAAGCTAATTCACAGATTTAAAAATAAATAATCGACGTGTATGTATATATTATTATCTTGCTGACGAATTCGAAAGGCCTTTTGCTTCGTGACACCAAAACTAGTTGTGGCTAGTGTTATAAAGCGGCATGGCGACTATGCAAGCATTCAGCTAGTGACAGTTGCTGGAGGACTTCACTCGAAGATACGATAATCTTACTTTGTCGCTTTAATATACAGAAAAAAATGCATGTCATTCCTATGTGTTTAATTGCACAAGTAACAAAGATCTCTTGAAAGAAATTGACACAACACACATGTATAATTAATCAAATACAACATATATAATTATAATTGATGGTTTTCAAGAACCGCTTGGTTGCTTCAGGTACCTGCGATTACGTTCCGTTTAATTCCAGTTGTGCAACAGTTTGATACATCGAGTCTCAGTGTAACAGAGAGAGATTTTAATTAAAATATCTGTACGTACCGCACGATATCCCAGGACTATCTCACGTTTATTGCAGTATTCAGAGAATAATGTGGATACTTCCTGACTATCTGTGCTGTTGGGATAATAAATATTCTTTTTTTTTTTTTTTTCAAAAAAAATAATTATTTACCAGTATGAATATTTGATTCCAGTAATTGTAGTTGAACAGTATATTTGCATATACACATGCGTAAACATAGATTTTCATAAACGAGTAAATATAGTCACCTGTCACAATTTCAGTAGTTTATAGAAATTTCTATTTTTCTCCGATTGTGTGTTTGTACTTTCAAGAGCATTTTTTATTTTTTTTTTCAATTTCTCGTTTCAACAAACCAGATATTTCCGGAGATGTGAGACTTTCATTGTGGCGCCCCGTTACAACCGCGGTCCGAACTTCGACGAGGAATTCGACTATTGGTATTACAGAAATCTACAGATTTTTCACAGCAAATTATATATATATGTATATATAGAACACGTTAATGAAACATATATTCATCAATCTCTAATTCCATATCCAATTCTTTCCCGTTACTACGACACGGGATCTGCTATTGCGCGTGAAAAGAAAAAAAATTCGAGACGATTTCTTCGAGACAAAAGCATTCGAGATAGCGGAAGTACGCTGTCTCGAATGCTTTTGTCTGGAAAAATCCATAAAACTCCAATTTCGCAACGCAAAATCGCGGTATATTCCCGCCGCTGCTCCATATTTTCTAGACTTCCCCCCCCCCCTCGCCTCAACTTGCTCGATGTCAGCGTGACAATTACGATCTTGCTTGCGTTAACACATAATGCTGTAAAGTGCTGTTGCGGCATCAAGTTTTATTCCGCCACTTGTGACGTATCTTGCGGCCTCTTCAACCTGAGTGACTCGCGAAGCATCCGCGCGAGTCGAGAGGTTTTCCGCTGGAAAATCGATCGGACCGTCCGCCATTGTGCGCGCAGAGCAGTGTGCCGCGTCTCCGACGTGAGAGTAGTATTACTACGCGTCGGCCGCGACACACACGGCGCGACGCTACTCCGCCGTTACCACTTGCAATTGGGGTCGCGCGCACAAAGAGGCGAATCGTTGCCGGACGATCGTCGGAATTTCCTCGTCAAATGTTCGAGCATTTCTATTTCTCGCGAAATTGCTTGTCGAGCGAGAGATTAATTTGATTTCGCGCGCCGTGTCGAGTGTCTCTCGGGTGAAATTATTATTTTTTTTTTTTTTTCCCAGGCAACATCGCACGCGGGCTTCCGGTGGCGCCAGTGTCGTCGCTGTGTCGGCAGAGAGTAAAGAGATGTGGTGTTGCGTGACTGGGTGTGAGAGACATAGCGCGTTTGTTGTGTGTTTGTTGTGTTACGAGTATAAGCGAGTTTAAATTGTAACGTAATCTCCATCGGGAAACGTGCGCGCGTAAATACGATTAACAGACGGAAAACGTACGGGGTGGAGGAATCGCGAATCTTGAGAGAGAGAGAGTCGCTCGAAAGAAAGAACGAGAAAGAGTGAGAGAGAGAGAGAGGGGGAAGAGAGACAGAGAGAAGGAGAGAGAAGTGAGACAGACAGACGGACGGAGCGAGCGAGCGAACGAACGAAAAGACGCATTGCGATTTGGAGAGATTTTTGAGTCGTGTTTGCGGCTGAAATCGAGGAATTGATAATCGTCTGCACAAATCTCGAAGCGGAAAAGAGCATTATGTCGTCCTACATCCAAGTAGCCGAGGATGAGGGCGAGGAACCCATAGAATTGCCCACCGAAGACGATAATACGCTTCTGCTGACCACCCTATCCGCCCAGTTTCCCGGCACATGCGGCCTCAAATATCGCAATCCGGAATCGCGAACGATGCGCGGCGTTCGGTTGGTCGACGGCCGTCTGCATCCGCCCGAGAACGGCTGGGGCAAAGCGATCTACTTTTGCGTTTTCCCGAAAGGTATATTTGCACACACATATATATATATATACGTGCCTGTACATAGATATATCACTCACACATACACACACACACACACACACACACATACATACACACGCGCGCGCGTATCTCTCGCTTGCAGTATTTATATCGTGGCGGCGCTACGCACGCTTGGCGTCGGCTCGCTCGCGCAAAAGGAGTGCGATATTCACAAATGTGTTCATAAATGAACATCATCGTGAAATAACGATAGAATGAAATTTCTCTTAGCTCTCGTTATCTTAGTAGTTGTACAAGTAGCTTGTTTGAAACGTTGAAAAAACAAAACAGATGTCCACGTCTTTCTTCTTTCCTTGTCTTTTTTTTTTTCTTTTTTTTTTCTTTTTTTGTATCTATTTCTTTTGATTTCTTTTTTTCCTGGTTCACACAAATAGCCATAAGTTGTTAGACATGAACATCTATAATGTCTTTTCAGAGAACAAACGTAAATCTGATGACAATTTGGAAAATTCCACAGCTAAGACTAAAAGAATGGAAACAAAGTTACGTTGCACTGATTTGATTGTACTTGGTTTACCATGGAAAACAACAGAGCAAAACTTGCGTGAATATTTCGAAACGTTTGGTGAAGTTCTGATGGCACAGGTGAGTCCCTCGATGACGAAACTTGCGCTTACATTTGCACAAAGTATCATGAGTATCAAAGGCTGAATGTTTGACTGTGTCTACTAACTTGCATATATATTTTTTAAAGCCAACTAATTTCTCTCTTAGATAAGTAAGTGTATTAACACTCTGACATTAAGCATAATGAAGAATGTGCTTTGTTTAAATAATAATAATTTGTTTTAATTCAGAAGTAATTTTTTAATTGAATAAATGTACATTATATTCTATGTGTATCTCAGTGTGTGTTAATGAGATATAACTTTTATATAAACTATCTTTTCTTGTTTCAAATTTCAACTGTAAAATGTCAATAAAATATTATTGCAGGTAAAGAAAGATGCCAAGTCAGGACAGAGTAAAGGATTTGGCTTTATTAGATTTGGAAGTTATGAATCACAGTTGAGATGTCTTGCTCAGCGTCATATGATAGATGGCAGATGGTGCGATGTCAAGGTGCCTAACAGTAAGGTAAGAACAAGATATTAATTTGTAGATCTTGTTTTCCTTGCTATTTTTTCTACTGTTTTTGTAAATATAAGAAAATTCTAACAAGTGTTAAGTTAGAAATGCACATTTAAATCGTAAGACTGAATAAATCATTTTAAAAGCAATAAGAAATTTTATGTATGAAATTTATATGTAAAATCTTCTATTTTTGTGTGTCAGAAATGATGAGAGTGTCGCTCTTTCGTGTGTATATTTACTTTTATTTATTTATTTGTTCTATTTTTACACATGATTAAAAATAGTCATGATGAAGAAACTCTAATGATAACAGCGTATTTATTTTATATACAGATAAAAATAATTACAATGTCTCTGAGATATTGTCAAGTTTTATTGTTTTTTGGTATTGTTTTTAAAATGATGTATTCAAATGATATACATATGTTTAATCTGTACATATTAGATTGAGAATCTCAATGAAACTTGATAGTTATTATCAAAGTAACTTATCATGTTTTTCATTGTTAAAGTTTATTAAAATAATTATGGGCAGAAAAAGAAAGTAGTATGTATGTGTGTGTGTCGTGTGTGTGTATGTGTATATGTGCGTATGTATGTGCATGTGTTGCTTTCTATTGTGATTTACAAAAAGAAGAAAAAATCACATAAATTACATACTTTTATTTTATCGGTTGGTAAATGCCAGATTGTTTTAATTCTTTTGTTTAGTAATCCGATTACACCTGTGTTACTATAAAAAGAAGGAATATTTCACTTGAGAATAGAAAACTACGTATAGAAGAACGCAAAAAAAAACATCTGAGCTTGAAACATCTCGCATAAAGCAGTTTATTTTTAACTTTCTCGGTCGCCGTTATCAGCCCAGTTAGAATGTGTTTTCACTGGAAAATATATGTACAGATATGAACATATGTGTACTCAAAATAAAAAAAAAAATCAAAGAAAATAAAACGGAACGCTGTATGAGAGACAAACTAGTTGAACGTGATAAGCTTACGATCACATGAAAATTACGGATAAAATTACGCCTTATCTTACGCACTTCCCGTTCTATCTCCATTTTACCGTACAACGCTTTGAGGAAATATATATCGATATTTTCTCACTTTCCTTGGATGTTACATTTTATGTATACGAGACACGTATTCTCTCTCTCGTTGTGGTATAAATAGGTGAATGTGTGATTGATTACGAGTGGTGAAATTTATACAAGGAAAGAATGCAAATTGCTTGTATGTACGAATGTATGTTTATGCGAAAGAGTGTGGGGTGTGAGTAGAAGAAGAGTGAACAATGTTAAACAGTGTGTGTGCGTGAATATGTAAATACTATCGTATGTTTGTGTGTCTGTTGCAATAGTATGAAATCGCATTAGAGAAGAATGATTTAAAGAGTCAGTAACTTGAACAGAGAGGAATGATAAAATGAACAGTTGATAAGAAAGAAATACACATTTTGAGTAACAATCACTGTCCGTTGTCTTTTTCAAGATTTTTTTTTGTTTTTTTTTTTTTTTTTTTTTTTTGTTTTTTAACTGGTGAGGTTTTCTCAAGAAATTTGAGAACAAAGACAAAACACTCGATATCTTCACGTGTCGATAAATATTTATACGATACATAAATGAAAAAAATTATTCACTAAAATTGCGCAATAACTCGTGAATGAAAAGGAATGTATTGCATATATTGAGAGCATAAAAACAAGTCAAAAGTTTAAAGAATTTCAACGTTTTTCGAGCGCGTAATTTTCCAGACGCGTCAAACATTGTAATGGGTATGACTTTGTATGTGGAGCTTGAGTATGTAAAAAATCTCTTCTTACTCGCGTATGAAGAATAAACAGCTGACGATCAAATCGTACGGTCGAACATTTGAAAGTTCTTCTAGTATGAAAGAAAAATAACATTTTTCGAGAACTTTAGCGCGTTATATGCGTTGACATATAAAATCCAATCAATGTGGTCTCTAGAGTCTCAGAGAATTATGAGCACGTGTGAAAAGATTTTGTGAAGCGACGCTTGGTATGGAATAGAGTGCGAAATCAGGAATGAGAAAAGAACTCGCGAACGAGATAGCGAAAAATCTTACGTGTGTCCACATCTCTCGCGAATAGATTCTGAGCGTTTGAGAATTGTTTGACGTTTCGCGAATGCCAAAGTAAAATTTCAAAAACGAATTGTCGAGTGCATAGAGTTTGTCGCGCGCGGTCCACGTTACCACAATATATGAGCGGAGCGAATGCGTATGTGTGCTTCAGCATTTCGAGATCAAAATCTGTATGTTATTTTCGAGGGCTGGTGTAATCTGGTTGCAGAATATTGATGGCTTAATGATGGCACGTCAGTATGATACGAGTAAGCACGGTAGCGAGTGCTACCGACCTATACCGGTGCACCCGCCGAGTAGTCGTCGGGCGTCGGCGGCGTCGAAGCCGTACAGCGTAAACTCGTCGTCCGAGGCTACTGCACCGCCTCCGAGCGCGCCTCCTCCTAGATACGACTCGGAGTACGATTACAAAACCACTCACTATCCGTCGTATCCCCCGAATTATCCGTACGACGATAGCAAGTACAAGTACGAGAGCGGTGGCGGCCAGCAAGCAGCCGCGTACGCCGTCTACGAGAAACCGAGCTACGCCGCATACGCCGAGGAATCCGCTGTCTACGATTCACGTGGCTACATGGCGCCGCCGCCGCCGCCGCCACTTCCACCACCGCCCCCGCCGCCGCCACCGCCGCCGCCGTCGCACGCGACCGCCGCAGCAGTCGCCGCAGCGCCCGTCAATCCCGCGTATCCCTCGTCCGATGCGGAATACGGATCGAGGTATTACGGCGAGGGACGTGCCGCTTACTCGATCGCTGACAACTGTCCGGAGCATTATGACAAGGGAAGGTACACTGGCTACGGATACGAGCAACGTTGTTACTACGATCAGGTCGATGGTCGCTACGCTCCTGCACCTCAACCAGATTCCAGATACATCGAGGTCCGGTATTCGGACGCGAGACATCCGGACGCGAGGCACTTGCCCCCTGATCACGCTCGAGAAGCGGACAGATACATGGACGGTCGCGATATGGATAGGAGATACGCTGTAGACGGCAGGGAACACGTGGACGGCAGATACGTAATGGATAATCGCGAGATCGACAGTCGTTATGTCGTCGCTCCGGAAGCGGTCGACGGTAGATACGCCGATCCGACGAGATATCCTGTTAAAGAAAACTATTACGATCGCTATTACAAGCACAGGCCGTCGAGGGATCACCACGTTGGCCATCCTGCTGATTCAAGATATTAAAATATCGTAAATACAATCAATCATGTTTCAATGGGAATATCGGATCGTGTACATCTCTACACGCGCACATCTGCCGTTGTTGACGAAATGAATAATATAAATACAACTTCTTTTTCTCTCTCGCAACTTTTGCGATACACATTCCTCGACGAATACCACGTATCTATGAGAATACGACAGAAATGTTGTGATACTACTAAATATTGCTACATGTATCAATTATATGCGTACGTCTATATGCGTGCAAGTGCAACATTTGATATGTAGCAACATTTTCTATTATCATTTTTGTTTTAGCGTCGCAAAACTCGAGAAAAATACTTACTAGACAGTGTTTTTTATCTCTGAATGAATGTGTGACGATAGAGTATCGTCTCGAATAGTTAATACATATAATATGTATATTTATACGCAAATATACATATTATCTTTTTATACTGCTACATTTGTATTTGATATAACTTTTTGCATGAAAAAAAAAAAAAAAAGACAATTTTTTATTGGAATACATATTTTATCTTTATAAGATAAAAATTTAAATTTTAGTACTTTGTCATCTCGATAACGTAAATATTATTATCGAGCAACAAGTTTACATTAATAGCGTATCGATGATTCGTTATTTCCCAACACGGCAAAATAACAACGTATTGAACTATTTTACCACTTACAGATAGTTCACACGCTAGTGAATGTTATTTTTATCCCAGATAAATCCAAACGCACGTATATCAACGGAATAGTTACGTGGTATATACGATATACAAAGTGTATACTGTCTTTTTAATCTTTTTTTTTTTTTTTTTTTTTTTTTTTTTTTTTTTTTTTTTTTTTATCGCATACCAATGTTTTTTTTTAAATTTTTTTTGTTATTTTTTTCCATCTGGTTTTTACACACTCGATATTTGTGTGTGTGTGGGAGCGTTACGCTGTTGGAATTATGTATATTGTACATATATCCAATTAGTATGTAAGAAGCATATTCCCATTAATTCATGGTGTTTGTTATAAAAATAACTATGTTGTCTAAATGTAGCTACAATTAATTTAGCCTGGAATAACTGTTTACATTTTATCAGATATGTGCTTATCATTCAAGTTAAGACAGTGTAATGTAGCATGGAATTTTTCTACATCGAAAGTATATAAAAGAAAAGAACACATTGTACAAATTGAGATGCATGGATTTCAAGTGTCATAGTGCTTAAGTGTTTGTTATATAACATATACGAAGATTTTGTATATAAATCAAGCCAAACGACGCCCTTTCCTGGATCGATAAATAAATGTATTTAAAAACTTTTTTTTTTATATATATATACATATATATATAAAACTTGACGTTTAGTGCAGATTAGTTGCAATTGACGGAACGCCCGTAGACGTTTGTGCTGAAAGCGAGAAATTGCACACAATGCGTATATTACGACTTGACTCTGTATAATGCGTTTGTAAAATATATATATATATATATGTTTACACACATATATATATGTATATATGTATGGTCGATGTAAAAACGTTGTGATTCTATATGTAATGTACTTATATTATGTTTCGCTATAGTCATGAGAAACAGTAGATAGTCTCGCAGCGATTCTGCGCCGCCGTTATTGTGAGTAATGTGCACTGTACGCAAGTTTTTACTTGGATAAACAGCGAATATGTCGTATATGATTGACTGACTGTGCGTTTGTGTGTAGGAGGGAATGATTCAGCAAGTACCCTGCAAGGTATTCGTCGGCCGCTGTACAGAAGACCTAACATCTGATGACCTGCGAGATTACTTCTCCAAATTCGGCGAGGTCACGGACGTGTTCATCCCGAAACCCTTCCGCGCATTTTCGTTTGTCACTTTCCTAGATCCCGAGGTCGCGCAGTCACTTTGCGGCGAGGATCACATTATTAAGGGCGTGTCGGTGCACGTGTCGAACGCTGCGCCCAAATCTGAGGGCAACAATAAGAACTTTAACAATCAAGTAAATGCAAACATGAGAGGCCGGGGTGCGCCGGGACCCGTGGATAACAATGTACAAGGCAATTATCAGGGTAATCGTTACATGGGCCATTCGGGCAACAATATGGGCCCAAACGGTTGGAACAATCCGGGGAATCGCGGCAATCTTGACATGCCAAATTTGCAGGCTCTGGGCATCACCGGACAGAATAACGGTGGCGGCGGGGGCGGTGGAATGTCGAATCCATTGGCCATGGGCGGTCTGAACCTGTCCGCGTTGCCAGTCAATCCGGCTCTGGTGGCCGCTGCCTTAAACCAAGCGTCCTGGGGTCTTATTGGAAATCTACAGAACCAGGGAAACGACCAGGCCTATTCAAACCAGCCGGGCCCGCCGGGCCAGCCGCCCTCCGGTAACAACAGCATCGGCAATTCCGGTAACTCGGGTTTTCTCAGCTGGATGAATCAGGGCGGCGGCGACGGCAACACCGGCAATCCTGCCACCGGCGGTCCCGGACCGAATAACCCGAACGCGTCCCAGGGCGCCTGGCAGAATCATCCGGGTCAGCGCGACCAGAAGTCGAATACCTTTCTCAAGTACGAGTAAACCCACCCGGGGCCGTGGGTCTACTCGTAAAACCAAACGGATCGTCCATCCACGGGTCCCGACGCAATCTTAATGCTGCTAACTGAAGATGGAGTTACTGCGGCTTCGAATGTGGTGTTGCCACATGAAAGGGTCTGAGAGCCTAGACACGTACGTTGACGTTCTTTCTAATGTTTTGCACTAATCGCCACTGCGCGTGCATTATATTATATTAAAGAGACCCTCTCTCCACTCTTCACCAATTTCATCAATTAGCACAATTCCGTTCGTCGAGAAAGAGAGTTTATATAAGAATTATGCATTAACACGGATAGCTCCGATTATTCTGAATATGTGTGCACCCCGGCTTTTGTGTGATTTGTCTAATCTAATGAACGTACGATACCGGCATGAGTAACATCGATATGTATGAAATGATGATTTAATGTGTCTGTGAAGAGTGTAGAGTTGTGCGCGTGAGCTTTTAGCTCACTCAGATTGTGTACCTATTCGACATATATACATATATGTGTTTCGAGCTGCGCTCAATCTAGCACTACAAATGCTTCAGAGCATCATTTTATCTTTGTTGATTATCTGATGAAAAAAATAAAGATTTAATGTTGTTTTGAAGTACTTGAAGCTTGCTATTCTGACTGCAGTTTCAGTCTTAGTTGTAAAACTATCGATTGTCATCGGCTTGTAAACCGGGTTTGCGTTAACCATATGTTTACATGTTACGGAATATCGGATCTGAGATCTCCGTTCGAAGAAAGCTTGAGCTGCTTTATCATTATGATGAAACCTTGTAGTGACACTTGATGATGTTTGTATGTGTGTGTATATGTGTGTGCGTGTGTGTGTGTGTTTAAGCATTGAATATGCGTACATACGCTAATCTGAATTGATGAAAAAAAATCGTACATATATACATATATATTGATATTATATTGGATTATATATATATATATATGTGTACATACACATACGTGTATATATACATATGTGTACATATAGAGAGAACGAAAAATCGATATATCGTTATATTCTTCTGTTGCGTATATAATTTTCAGATCTTTTTCTTTTTGTTTCGATTACGTAGCATCCACCCACCGAATCATTGTTAAATTTTAAGAGTCCAACAGCTCAAGCCTTCTTTCATCAACAAATCTCATCAGGAAAAACGGAGCTATATGATATGTAGCGCGACATATACTTAAAAAAACGTTTCTTAAATTATTAGATTTATAATCGTTAACCGAATATTTTTTCTTCTTCTTCGTCATAGAAATGTGAGCGTAACGTACAAATATTGAATCACTATCGAGCGCAATAGACAATACTAACCGAAGCTAAAGTCCAATTGCTTGACTTTTGTCGACTGGAAAGCTTGGATCGTTTAGATGTTATTTAAAAAAAAAATGTTTATTTTATGTAATGAAATATATATATTTACGTATATATATTTAAATCTCTATCGCATTTTGACAGTTTTAGAAACTAGTTTGCATATTGATTTTAATAAAATTTCTCTACAGTTATTCTCGAGCCAATATTTACCGAACACGTTTCTAATTAATGTAAATTTTGCGTTGTAAAAATAGTCGACTTCTTTCAAATCTTATTACATGTACATATATAAAATTTGTAGCAATTGCTTTTGAACTAATTTTTGCTTTGTAAAGATGAAGAGCAAAGGCCTTGTCACATACGTAATCATCTTATCTCGTGACTTTTCGTAATATGTTGCGGTTGCGCCCGGAAAAAAAAAGTGCGGACGTTGTAACTTTCTGAAAGATTTCTAGTCCTGAGAGAGAGTAGGTGACGTTTTAATAATTCCCGGATTAAATTCATTGAATAAAATCCTCGAGACAAGAAACGATAATACGAAAAAGAAAAACGGAGTCAAATCTGAAATAAATCTAGAAGATAAATAAAACTAAAAAGATAAATGACGATGAAACTGAAGAGTATCGTCTCTCGTCTTAGACGAGAGAAAGCTGAGATTAGTAAATTCTTATCCTATACTTGGAATGCTTACTCTTGTGCGTAGGGAGTATGATTGTTTTCTTTTCTTTATTTTTCATTCGAGTGAGCATTTCAGTAGTTTACATAGAATTCGCTGACCTCAGATGGAAAATGTTCTTTAATCGCAGTAAGAAGTTACCTTCATTAACTTATCCATGTCTTGCAGTAGTCATTACCCGCTTCGCAACAGATTGCTGTTTGCTGGAATGTTGACAAATTGATTCTCTTTTTTGAAAAAAAAAAAAATAATAATAATTGATATAGTATTTCTATGACTAAAAAACGTGATTAGATATGACTGTTTGAAATTGGTATGAATGTATATCAAAATAGTTGTAAGATTTTTTAGAGAATGATCGTAGCTATCCGTATAGGTACATTACTATTACGATTAAACTTTTGTTTCATATATTTCGAGTGTAACACATAGTTTATTATGTGAGAATTTTACACTAGTGCGTAAGTGTGTGTCAAATTATTGCCCGGAAGTGTGTGTGAAAGGAAGCATTTGAATTTTGCAATTTTTTTTTTTTTTTTTGTATTTTAATTGAATGATTTGCAGAAAAAAATATACAAGAAAACCGGTTTAGATGTCTTGTATGTTTATTAATTGAAAAAATCTGAGTAGATATCTTTGATGAAAAGACTTTCGATTTAAGCCTATTTCCTAATTAAACAATAAAAAAAAAACACACAAAATAGCTTATACAGAGAATATTTATTTTTCAAAAACGAAGGAAAAGAAAGAGAGCCATATTGATAACACGAGATAAAATGAAGGATGCAATATCACATTTTCCAGTTAATTAATCTGAGAGCTTTAGCATACGGAATATAGTGTTATGTCACAATTGAAAACTTAAAGAACGTATTCATTACCGCGACATCACTGTGTATTGCATTATAAAAGAAAAAGATTATTTAGCTCTGAGAATAAAAACTAATTATATCTTATGAGTATATTAATTGAAAAAATAAAATAATTATCTATATATATATATATATATTATATATATATAAAAAAGAGAAATGTATTGTGCTTTTTATTTGTCGTGCAGTGATTCTCATAAAAAACTTCCTACTTGAAATACACACTACCTTACTATTACACAAATTATAATACTCTCTCACACTCTTTCTCTCTCATTAGCGTGAATTCTCTCGTCATTATGCGCGTGACGCGTGTACAGCAGAGAGTGAATTCTATACTATATTGTAATGCTCATCGCTCCTCATTGTTCGGAGACTCGGCCACAAATGAGAAAAAGGGCATAAGGGTTGCCGATTTGCCATTTCTTTCTCTTTCTCTAGTGAATTTTTACTTCACAATTTTTTGTACATACGTCTCATGTTTCTTTTGTTACCTAAAGAATGGTACTTTCTGTCTCGTTTTTTTGGGCCGTTTTTTTTTTTTCGCATCATCCCTCATTGCGGCGAGCATTCCAGTATGGCGTTCAGTTCACTCGTGTACCAGATGAGAAAATTTATCTCTAGTTTAAAGAAAAAAAAGAACAGAAGAAAAAAAAACGCCGATTGAATTGGATTGTTCAAAGCGCGTGTATGTATAACGGTTGAATGTATTTGTTAACGGTCGTCTCAGAACTACAGGCGTGAAAGTTTTTACTACTTAGCAAAAATGATAATGCCTTGTGTCTAAAGTGCTGAATATTCGTGTATGTGGCGGCGCGAGGTGAGGAGAGCAATGAGATGATTGAGAACACAAAAATATAGTATATATACATAATATACCTATTAAACAAAAAAAAAAAAAAAACAAGGGCGAGTGTACGGAAAATTATGATTATATAAGTCTTAGATGAGAGTGAGAGTCGTCCAATGTGTGTCCGATATTATACTTAGACCGAAAAAATAAAAAAAGAGGTTGTTTATATACATATAATATACATAAAAAGAGAGCTAAAATCAGAGATCTCGGTGAGGAAAGATGGGACAATTTTGTGTGTGGGGTTGTTTGGTAGTGATTGTGCATTCTTCGTAAGTCTGTGAATTGTTAAATTGATCTACACACAGAGAGACTGTAGTTTAAGACAACTTTTAACAGACACCGGAACCGCGTCTAGCTTATCGCTGAGGCACGAATGTTGGCGCTTTTAGTTTGCTAAGATGCGCGCGAAAATATTTTTCAGGGATAAATAAAGTTTTCTCTCTTCTTCTATAATAATAATAATAATAATAATAATAATAATAATAATAATACAAACCAGTAAAACTAGAGTATGAAACTTACACGGAGGAAATAAATTTTAATATCATTGATCGCGTATGATGAACAGTTAAAGTCAATTGATCGAGCTCGAACATTCGTGCGTGAGTCTTCACGATTTGCGGGATGCTACGTAGTCTGACAATTTGTACAAAGTTTTCTTGTATAGCATGTATAGACCGCATGCTGCGCAACTGTTTAACGGGAAGTGCGCAGAATCGATATTCTATTAAAAAAGAAACGAGTTCTTGGAAAACCGAGATGAGAAAATTTTTAAATCTGTAACGAAACGATAATAAATTTCTCAATTGTCAGACCACGTGTCTCACAAGTCGTTCGAAACACAGCGATGCCTACAATATGGTAGACATCTCTCTCTTCGTGATCCCCTCAATTAATTAACGCGTATGAAGCAAGTGTTTTTGCGTGCGATCAGAATGCTCACTGCTCAAAGAATGCCTTGCAGAGAAAACGATTCGGAAATGATCTACGAGGTGTGTAAATACGGATTTAATGTGTAAAACCAACTTTAGTATCGCTCATGAAATGTAACGAATTTTATTGTAGAATTAGTAGAATCTCTGTAAATCGCCCGATATTGTTGTGTCCCTTCCCCAAGTGGAGAAAGAGAGAGAGAAAAAATGAAGTTATACATGATAAGTCCGATACGTGTGTCGTGAAACGTTGTCGTGTTGTGAGAATGTTGATTTGTTCGTCGTCGTTGTTGGAGGGAGTGATTTTTGAGACGCGCGTCGAGAAGAGACACGTGGTGAGAAAAAAAAAAAAACAAAACAAAACCGCGCGAATATCCGGCGTTCTTTTACACTTTTGAAATACAAAACGAGGATGAATATGAAGAGAATTTGACCGTCGAAAATTTTTTTACGAGTACGCGATGATGATCTCACGATTTTGTGTACGTGCGTTGGCGTTTCTCCGCAATTCGTGCCGGCGAACCGACCTTACCGTGAAATTAGAAAAACATTTTCCGAGTTTAAACACGCGGTGAGGAAACAAAATACTCATTGCTCTTCGTAACGTTCTCCGTTGATTGTAGTGTATGTTAAAAACTATGCCGAGAATAAAAAATCCAAGCACCGCGAGGTATTACACATTTCTTCACATTGTCTTTGAATGCGAAACCAGTACATATAAAAATATACTTACGCACATTTTTCATATATCTACTTCGGGATTAGCATCAGTTCATAGCATTATTTTATTCTCTCAGAATCGAGTTTGTGTCACTAATTGATTTTTTATTTTGACACGAACGAATTATTTCTTTAATTTAAGTTTTCAGAGATAAAAAAAATAAACTAGACGTAACGATACATGCGCGCGCGTCGTTCTGCAATGTCAGAGCAGCCTAGCGTATTGTTTTTTTTTTTTTTTTTTTATTAGCTTAGAATTATCACACGCATGTGTGAGAAAAGTTTTTTAAATTTATTCTGCGTGTAAGTAACAAATAGTTTTGCGCGACATTCTCAATGAAGTTACTCTCAAAAAGTTCATTTATTGTATGTATGTGAACTTACAATTTTATTCTCAATTAACAAACACAAATTAAAAGAAGCACACGAGGTTGCGCCGTTTAGTTAGAAGTGACTTGGTCTCGCGATGAAGAGACTTTTTTTTTTTTTTTAACTGTAAAATAAAATTGTAAAAGTGAGTGAAAGAGAGAGTTTGAAAGGTAATGTGACAGAGAGAGCATCGGTAACTGGACTTTCGGTGATGACTGAAGACGATAACCGAAGAAATCCGCTGAGCTTCAAAACAGGTGATTGACATTATTTCTCTTTCATAACGGTTTAACAATCATCAAACGATCACTTGTCAGCGGTACTTTGACTTTCGCAACTTGTCGACGAATTTTTTTGTCCATTCCATCGATATCTTGTTTTTCTCTCTCTAATACCTCCTTTTTCTAGCTCATCGATCGTACGTAGACACTACTACTATGTTTAACAAGCTTTTGTAAGAAAAGCTCTTTAATATGACAAGACTTTGATATATGAGTTTGCTCGATGGTTTTTGACATTTTTGTTGTCCTCGATCTTTCTCGTTCCTTGTACGTATCCCAGAGAACGAAGAATCGTCGAGGAAACTTCTTGCAACGTAGTGTTATCGCTTTGCTGCGAAGTTTGGTCCTACGCAAGACTACGGTACGTGCTCGATGCTTTTTGTTTTTTTTTTGACGACACGTTTGTCATCACACAACTCGTTCAAAGTCTCGTGGCCGGTAAATTTAACAATTCTCGCAGATATCACCGGCGAATGACAAGATTCCAGGCGTACCTTATCGCACACTTGTTATCCTATCAAGCCAAAGGAGCTAAGACAACTTCGAGAAATGATCATATGTTTTGTACGTTTGAGAAAGAATATCTCACACATACACACTACGGCGGTTATTTCTTCTCAAGTTCACACCACGTTCAGGAATACAGTAAGATCACTCATCGAGACATCCAAGTGTTCCCAAGTTGTGGAATGTTAGTACTTTTTAGTTAGCTCCGAGGACCCGGTGTACAACCGGATACTAATCCTGTACGAATTCTGTTCAACAGCCTGGATGAATTATATGTGATGCTTGATGTCCGTGAACGTACCTCTTGGATGGACACGAAGTGTTGAGACAAGTTGATGCAAGTGGAAAGACCGAAAGAGCGAGCGAGCGAGAGCGAAAGAAAGAGAGATGAAAGGAAATGAGAGAGTAAGAGGGAGAGAGAGAGAGAGAGCGAGCGAAAGAGAGAGAGAGAGAGAGAGGGAGAGAAAGAGAGGGAGAGAGAGAGGAGTAAATTTTTTGCAGGAGAATAGAATTTTCGTGGAATGGTGATGATATGATGATAATGGTGATGGTGATGATGATAATGATGGTGATGATGGTGATGATGATGATAATGATAATGATGATGATGATGATGATGATGGTGATGCACTGCGCCGAGAGAAGTTGCTAGAGAAGTGTGGAGCGAGTGCTTTTTTGAAAGCGTGGGGGAAGTTTTTTTCGTAAGCGTGTTGATCAGGTTGCTGTGAAAAAAAAAAAACAAAAAAAAACATAAATGACTCGGCTGAATAGTTTAATGTTTCATCGCCGGTTTTAGTTTCAGATTGCGAGAGCGTGTGTTGCGATCGGCGGTGGTTGACCGTCGCGATTGATTCGTGCTTGCTCTCGCGAAAAGAGAGACATAACTCCTGAGAGGCAGACGCTAATTATGTTTGACAAACAGAAAATCTGCAAATCTCGAGAGAAAAAGAGAGATGAGAGAATCCAATAATAAGTGCCAAAGGACAGTGTAATTAAAGTAATTATAAATATACTAGCACATTTATATATATGCATAAATATATATATATATATATATATATAATTTTTTTTTTTTTTTTAAAGAGAATATTTACACATTTGAATTTAATTTGATTATACATATACATATATAAACACAATAAATTTTATTATGTGTAATAATGTCATGTGTGTATACATTTATTGTTACTTAACAACCATGTAAAATCATGTCGGAATAGATTGAGACATGTTTATTTCAACTTACGCACTTTGGTGTGCGCTTGTTATAATTGTTAAATAAATTGTAATTTTATACGTACTCTTTTTTCGTAGTTGTGTAGTTTTCTCCTCACAGTATAACACGACTATATATAATTCCTCTATATTATATTAACGTGATGATATACCTCCTTCATTTATTTTTATTTGGCAAATTTTATGTTTCAGATTCGGTATTCATATTTGCAGCGTATCGATCTTCGTATGTGAAGATTGTCAGTTTAAACGAAGAGCGAATTACTTGAAGAAAGTACTCTGTCAAGAAATTAATAGCAAGAAAATCTATTGAGTAAAGAACAGATTCATATTGCATATATATATATATATATATACACATACATATATATATATAGAGATATTATATCGGGAAACATTATTTCTTTGTTTAAAACTCACATTTGCTTTGTATAAATATAAATAAAGAGTATTATAATAGTGTTTAATAAATTTTCTTTTACTAAGCGCACAGACAATATTTAGTTTAGTTGTAATTGTAAATACATATGAAATTTCGCGTCGCAAGAAACTGTTTAAATCAGTTTATACACATTGGGGAAGTAAACTCGTATTTTTGCTCCGGGATGATAAAGAGACAAGATACCGACATCTACCGGGGTGCGGAAAAAGCTTTAACGAAATAGCGACAACCGTTGTCGACGGAAGTCAAATTGTCCGCCGAAGATAACGTTAGCGAAGACTCGAACCTTTTTGAAAAATGATTGATACTGGCCGAAGTGATTTGTATCCTGACTAAATTAGAAATCTTCGGCAAGTTGGAGAGTTTCAAGAGTGGATGCCGATGATGCTTCGCACTCAGGTGATTCAAGGTGAATCACCCAAGACGTCGCGGTGACACCTCTCGGCACTTTTCGGTTCCTCCGTGTTCTTCGCTGACTACACACAACAGATAGAGACAGAGGTAGTGGTGGTAGCGTGTCGGTGATGGTGGTGGTGGTGTGGTGGTGGTGGTGGCGGTGGTGGTGTGTGAGTTGGCTGTGGTGTGTGTGCGCCTAATCCATCGATTAACGGGAACACAAAATAAGATGCAACGTCGTCTGGCTGCTGTTTCTCGCCGCGCGTCTCGTCGTGTCGTGGTGCCGATGACAGCGAGCACGACCGCGTGCAAACCCGTTGGGCGTAAAGGCGCTATGGAAAAATGGTAAAGCAGCAGCGACTCAGTGTCCTCGTCCACTGGGAAGTATGGGTGCGCAAACGCTGGAGATCCTGAGGCAAGGCGTCTGGGCGAGCCTAACTGGCGGCTGGTTTCACGATCCGCATCTTGATGTTTTTTCCAACATCTTCCACCTTTACATCTGGCTATTCTTGCTCTGTCTGCCGTTTACGATTTATCTGGTAAAAGGGGAACACCATTTGCACTTTTCTTGTCCGTGTTTACACGGTCATTCGTGTCAAAAGTTGCATAAATCAACTTTCTCGACACGTCTGTCAAAGTGGATAATCAACTTTTCTAATGTCGATCAAGATCAACGAGATTTGTGTTTTCAAATCTCGATTTATAATAACTAGACACACGACCTAATCTATCAGCTGATTTATCACGTTTTGCACTCTCATTTAGGCTAGTTTTCAAATTTAACAGTCAGGTGAGGACAGTTATTTTTTTTTTTATTTCAGTTTTTTCCACCCACGTTGTATGTCTGGTTAGCATATTGCTCAACATTCCTCACCGTTTTTGGAACAATCAAGTACGTGAATCACGCTCTCCACTGTCTGTACGACACCACCGAACGTACTGTAGAATCTTATGAAACAATCAGTCAGCAGAAGTCAGAGAGTCAGAAGAGACAAGATTCTTTCGATAAATTTTGGAAAGGATTGGAAGATCCGGGAGTCCAGACTTTTGAACTGAGGGTTTTAAATGGTATATTGCATTAACATTGACAGATTACATCAACAATATTTCAGAATATTGAATAAAATCTTTGTAAACAACAAACTGTGTAAACACACACACACACACACACACGTATGCAAATACTGATTTATCAAGTCGAACAAATTTCAGAATCTTTCAAGATAGATGCGTAATTAAAAAATTGTGTTACAATAATCACTGCGTATTTTTTATTAAGAAATTTGTCTCACTAGGTAAAACTTGTTTGGACGACATACTACCTGTGGCGTGCTCATCACGTAATAACTCATTTGTAGAACCGAATGTACAGAATGCCGATGCGGATAGTATAACATCCGAGTACAATCGAGACAAACCCAATTCAACAATCGACTTGAAAGTGGAAATACATAGAAAGAACAGCTCGGAGAGTTCGGAAGAGACCCAGCAGCTTAACAAACCAACGATAAACAACGTAAACGTGCAGGAGGCTGAATCAGTTTGTGCACAGTATCACGAGCCGCGTGTTAAGAGCTTCACAAAAGGTGATCGATCGTTTTATTAACGGTGTATGTGTGTGGGCGCGAATTACAACAATAGATTAACCTAATAATCCGAATGTTTTATCAATGTTATTTTTTTATTTTTTTTTTAGAAGGAAGAAAACTGAGGCGACAAAAATGCGTAATAATAGCGGATAAAGATCGACCGCGGTTACGTAATTTGTGTCGAAACGAATCCGACGATTCGAGAAGTCGACATCCGAAACAGAGCAGCCTCGGTAAAACGGGATCGGAAAGCCAGATAAAACAAACTAGTTCGCTGGAATTGGAGAATCCGAATGACGATTATGCGTACTGGAAATCGAATCAAAGCGTCCGCAACTTCAATTCCATACCGATGGAAAGGCTCAACTTTAATTCTATACCAATAGAAACACTGATCAATGGTCATCCGCAGAGCTTAGAAATCATATCAAAGAAAGGAGACGCGGACAATAACAAGATCTCGTCTCATCCGCAATCGTTGGAGGTAAATTTCGTTGGAGAGTATTTTGTACGCGCAAATCTTCGCGTGTAGCTCTAAACAAATTTTATTCTGTTCGAAGTCTCAAGAGACACAAAAGAATTTATATAATTGCATTTCTAATTTTAAGGTTATTAACAAAAAACCACACCAACAACTGGTACATCCTCAGAGTCTCGAGACAATTGGTGCTACCAGCAAACACATAAGTAGTACCGACGACAATAATCTGCCTCTTCATCCGCAAAGCCTCGAAACAATCAATACCAAAAAGGTAAAAGGGACGAGTCAGTTCTGCAATTCGCGAATCTCTTTTTTCGTTTTACATTTTACCTCGAGTTATCAAGACGGAGATTTGCACCTAGTGTATATTAAAAAAAAAAATCCCTACATTAAAGGTTTTACCACAAAACACACTGAAGAGAAACCAGCTACAGCTGTTACCGTATCTTAGTTACGGATCGGAAATAGTGCATCCGATAGCAGAGCAGAGCGACGAACAATTCGCCAACGAAAGTTCAGGAGGATACAGTTTGCGAGATTCGTACAGCCCGTTGCTTACGCGAAAAAACATAAGCGACGCGAACGTACCATCCAACACCCGTGATAGAAGTCTCAGCGCTGGCAGATTTGAAGACAGATTTACGAGGTACCACTCGACACTTACTCTGTGTGTAAAAAAAAAAAAAAACAAAATTAATAAAGCAAAATTAAAGAATCGTCAAACACTTGATCTTGAGATTGAAAACAAAATTATAATTTAACAAAACAAATTTTTGGCGCGATTTTTGTTTGTGAAGTTTATACCATGCGTGTTATATTTGAGATTTAACGACGACAACGGGATGGATAACAACTCAGCGAATTCCCGAGTTGCCTTGCTCGACATGCTCGAAGAGTCGAAATGCGGGGTGAAAAGAAAATACAGCAACGCGAGTCAGAGCAGTCACGAATTCTCGGACGGGGAGAGAAGCAAGGAAACACGACTGGACAAAGGCGGAAATATGGAAGATCCGCCCAACTCGGGAAGCGTGGTCGGGATAGATTGGCTGTTCGGCTGCTCGGAAAACGGAGACTGTCCGTTGGATCTGAGAACGAGTAAGAATAACAATAGCTTTCAGTTTATATAAGAGACTCGTGCTCTTATACTAGGTAAAAAAACAAACAAGAGATCTGATTTTTTTCCAATTTATTTGTCGCTGTGTGTGTTGTGTGTGCAAGCTTATGTATACTGTTATGTTTCTCTAATTCTTGCTACCAGTATTTTGGACTTTCACTCACTCTGATGATACGGATACGTCAGAAAGCCTACAGACGGCTAGTACAGATTGTAAGTTGGACGCACTACAGAGATAAAGTCTACATCTCTAATTGCACATTGAGCAGACACTTTTTTTTTTTTTTTTAAATCAAATGAAAGCTTCTCTGAATATTTTCACGCGACACTTGAAAGTCATATTATATCTTGCACTTGGCAGTGCTTTATGTGGCTTTGCGCATGATTCTATATTCGTGAACGTAATACGATTCAATATCTCATGTATAGCACCGATGACAAGTTATAAAATCAAAATTTAAATACATGATCCGTATGCTGGTTTGAATAGATCTTCACACCAAAGATCCCGATTCGGGATCGTCGAGTACAACGACCCTCAGCATCGAGAACGAGGTGAAGCGAAAGTTGCTGCCACAACCGGAGGACAACACTACCAAACGCCTCCAAGGAGCGATTCCCAAACAAAGCCGTCCAAAACCCGCAGCATCGGATACCCCGGATGACAATATTGCCTCACTGAGTGCCGAGCAGCAGCGTGAAAATCTCAAGCGTTACTTCGAAGTGCGACGGGAGAGAGCTAGGAGACGAAGTGACAAAATTGAACAGACGAGTGGTTCGAATAACGAGTTGAGCACGTTGTTGCCGAATCCGCCGGTTCCGTCGCTCGCCGCGTTACTCAACAATTCCGGTCGAGAACTGCCAGGCCAGTCAAATGTCGCTTCGTCCGAAGTTCAATTAAACCGCAGCACCGAAAACCGAAATAGTCGCACTAGGTGCGGACGATTGAAGGCCAACAGAAGACACGGCGGACAGCGCAACAACGTTGGCAACAATGTCGCGGTTGCCACGACAATACGGCCATGTGACATCCACGACAATGCGACGGTGCGATATCCGATTGTCAATCCGTGGACTGCGCTGATTTCGAGTATTATGAGCGGCACAGCCGCCGATTGTCGCGTTACCAATCAGAGCGGCGCAACGGAGGAAGCGGTAAACTACATTCGGGACGATTTCGGTCGTGTGCTAGCGCTTAACGAAAAAGCCGTGGACGCAGCGGCGGCGGCGGTGGCTGCGGCGACTGCGGCTGCGACAACGACGGCAGCGACGACGATGATGACAACAGCGGCGACAGTGACGGCAACGGCAACGACGACGACGACAGTTACGACGACAGCGACAACGATAGCGACTACAACGACGACGACCCAGATACATCCTTACGATTCGCAGATACATCCGCACGAACTGATGAACTTTCTATTGCGTCAGCAGCTCGACACGAACTGGAGATTGGCCGACTCATTGAATAACAGCTATAGCAGTCTGTCGATCAACTCAGCCGGGTTGACGGTAATAATCGACACGCCACCGGTGCTGTCGCCAGTACTGTCGAGTCCCACGAGCAATCAAACCAAAACACAGAACTCACCACCGTCAAATTTGATCTCGTCGAACACCGGCAGCTCGAATCAATGTACACTCGGCGAAAATTCGGAACGTGAACAGAACAATCAAGCAGTTTTAACCTCGTATCCCATACATCGGACGAATAGACTTCGCAGACAAGCTCTGCAGAGTATGATCGAAGATCTGACCCAGTACGAAGCGGAGACCAACAACCGCATGCTAACGTTGCGTAGAAATCAACAAGAACCTGACATAGACACCAGTCATATATCGTGGAACGGCTTCGTCGGTAGCTTTGCGCGCAGATTGGATTGGTTGAACGCCGGTCATTCGCGGAGTAAACCCTATTACAAGTGGAAGATCGGCAAGCTGCCGTACATCAAAGTGAGCTTGGATCGTCTCGCGCTGATGGCCTTGCTCGATCGCAACTTAACCGTGTTCGAGTCCGTTATCTCGACGCTGTTGGCGAGCGTAGTCGCGGGATTGGGTCTCTTGCTACTCCAACAGGGTTTCTATCGAGATATATTTGCATTTATGTTTTGTTTCGTAACAGCCGGGTGTCAGTACACGTTGCTGAAATCGGTTCAACCCGATGCCGCGTCGCCCACTCACGGTTTCAATCGCATCATCGTGTTCTCCAGGCCGGCGTACTACATCCTGTGCTCGAGCCTGATTCTCATCATCAACGAAGCATTGAAGAACTTCAAATCGTCCGACTTTCGGATTTACGGCTTGCGCGTAGCCGATTACGACGTTGTAATGCAAGTGCGAAACATTTTGTTAATATTTCTCCTGTGCTTTCCGATTATGTTCTCTTTGGGATTGTTTCCCCAGATAAATACGTTTCTCATGTACATTTGCGAACACTTGGACATTCATCTGTTTGGCGGCACCGCGACAACCGGTCTGGTGTCGTCGTTATACTGCCTTTGTCGCAGCGTGGTCGCCGTTCTTCTTCTTTACGGATTCGCGTACGGCGCCCTGCTCGAACCCAAGTCCTCGCAACACATCCTCTTTTCTATATTTCTCGGCATGCTCGTCGCGATATCCTACCACTTGAGCCGATCGTCTTCCGATCCTACCGTAATATGGGACATTCTCAAAGCGAATCTTTGGCCACCGGAGATTGGAGACAGATGCGCGGAGGAAGAGCAAGAGGCGAGAATAATCGAGAACACAACGTCGCAGCACGACAACGCAGCAGCAGCGGCAAGCTCCAAGAACAAGTCATCATCCGTCAGAAAGAAAGTTGAGAACGTGTCGTTGCAACACGACACCGCGAGCTCCAAGACCAAGTCGTCTTCCGTGAGAAACAAGAAGGCCGTGAAGATCAAAGTGCGCGAACAGATATTGGAGACCGACTTGTTAGATCCGTTGCCGGAGAAGCTCCGTTCGACCGTGAACGCGAGATTAAAAAACGACGTGATAGTGTGCGCCGTGATCGGTACTTTGTCGTTCGGAATTCATCGTACAACGGTGTTCACCGCCTTGCAACCGGAGCTCAATCCAGTGCTGTGGAGCATCGTCAGTTGTCTGGGTTTTGTTCTGCACTACATTGTGCCGCAGCTGCGCAAGCAGTGGCCGTGGCTGTGCCTGTCGAGACCGGTGTTGCGTAGCCACGAACACGAGCTATTTGAGGTGCGCGAACCGGTAAAAATCATGTGGTTCGAGAAGGCCTACGTGTATCTGTGCTTTCTCGAACGTAACGTGCTCTATCCGGTCGTCTTTCTAGGCGCGCTAACCGAATACTCGCCGAAGATCGCCAACAAGTTCGGCGCGAGCGTAGGCGCGCTCATCATCACCGTGTGCGGCATCAAATCCCTCAGATCAGCCTACTCGGACCCGTCCACTCGCTACCTCGTCCTTGTCTTCGCGGTGCTCTTCTTCCAGATGGACTTTAGTGAGCTGAGCGAGACTTTCCTGATAGACTACTTCGTCACGGGAATCGCGTTCGCCAAGATCTACGAACTGTTACTCAAGATTCGCTTTGTCGTCACGTACATCGCGCCCTGGCAGATCACCTGGGGCAGCGCGTTTCACGCTTTCGCACAACCATTCTCAGTGCCGCACTCGGCGATGCTCTTTCTCCAGGCCGGCATTTCGGCGATGCTCAGCACGCCGTTGAATCCTTTGTTGGGAAGCGCGATATTCATCTCGTCTTACGTACGGCCTGTCAAGTTTTGGGAAAGAGAATACAAGACCCGAAGAGTCGACACCTCAAACACGCGCATGTCCTCGCATCTAGAGCGCAATCTAGGCGGCGACGACAACAATCTCAACTCAATATTTTACGAACAACTCACACGATCTCTTCAGCACAGTTTGTATGGTGATCTCGCGCTTGGTCGATGGGGCAACGTCGAGCAAGGAGACTGTTTTCTACTCGCATCCGATTATTTAAACTGCCTGGTGCACGTCGTTCAGCTGGGCAACGGATTAGTGACGTTCCAGCTGAGAGGTCTCGAGTTTCGAGGAACGTATTGCCAGCAAAGAGAGGTACGAGCTGCGCTGCATCTTGTTTTTTTTTTCTCTTAGAGAACTTTGACGATAATTATTTTTGTTTTTTGCTTGTTTATTCAGGTGGAAGCAATTTCCGAGGGTATAGAGGAAGACAACGATTGCTGTTGCTGCGAAATGGGTCATTTGTCGAATGTACTTAGCGTAAACGCGGCCTTCAGTCAACGCTGGCTCGCCTGGGAAGTCACGAGTGCCAAATACGTGCTCGAAGGTTATTCGATCTCTGACAATTCGGCGGTTTCTATGCTACAGGTGTTCGAGTTTCGTAAAATGCTCATTACTTACTACATCAAGAGTATTGTATTTTATACCGCAAAGTCGCCCAAACTGAAGCAGTGGCTGGAGAACCCGGACATTGTCGACGCGCTGAAGCCGACGCTCGAGAAGAACTTCGTCGATCTCGATCCCATCTTTAATGCGAATATCGACTTGGACTTTGATTTTCGCGCTTGCGGTATCACGCGGAGCAGTTTCTGCAATGTTTATCTTGACTGGATACAATATTGCGTTGGTAAACAAGATAAGGTGATATATTAGCAACCCTCATACGTTATCTCGTCATCTTAATACTTAAGAAAAAAAACTTCAAATTGTCACATCAACGTCCATACGCTAATAGAGAGAAAAAAAATTTAGGTTTTATGTGAATGAAACAAAAACCACTAAAAAAAATTAGGTGCTAAGATGACGGATATATTTTTGTGGAAACTTCACAATATATCTTCGAGATATATCTCACATTTCAATGTGTTTTTCAGTCGTTGGATAGATCGCGAGATTCGCTATTTGTGTCTCTATGTCTCTCATTGAGTCTGTTGGGAAGACGAGTGTTGGGCGCCGCATCTCATAACTCGCTGTTGAGTGTTGAATTTTTTCTTTACGGACTACACGCGTTATTTAAAGGTACCGATACGCTTGATAATAATTTTTGTTATTTTGTTAAAACGTCTACTCTCTCAAATTTTAAATTTGCAACAAAACTCTGATTAAAGCTGTGATTAAAAGCTAGATTGATTCAATTTTGAAATATATGTATATGTTCATAATTTGTAATTATACAGGGGATTTTCGAATAACGTCACCCCGTGACGAGTGGGTGCTGCGCGATGTCGATTTGTTGCGCACCGTGGTCGCGAAGGGTATAAGAATGGCCCTGAAGTTGCATCAAGATCATTTTATGAGTCCGGAGCAATACGCCGAATCGCCAGCGCTGTTCGAGGCCATTGAAAATCACGATCAGAACCTCGTCATCAGTCACGAAGCAGATCCACGTTGGAGAAATGCCGTCTTGAGCGGTGCACCTAGTCTCCTGGCCTTCAGGTTTGCGTTATAGTCCTCTGTTTTATGACTGCTATCAGAAATATTTCAATCAGACATGTGCGTGACGTTGTCGAAATTTTCAGGCACGTACTTGCCGAAGATATAGATGAATACAAGGTGATAATGCTTAACAAACGTTACTTAAGCTTCCGTGTGATAAAAATGAACCGCGAATGCGTTCGCGGTCTCTGGGCTGGCCAGCAGCAGGAGCTGGTCTATCTGAGAAATAGAAATCCGGAACGCGGTTCGATACAGAACGCCAAACAGGCTTTGAGAAATATAATCAACAGCTCCTGCGACCAACCGATCGGATATCCGATTTACGTCTCTCCGTTAACGACCAGCTACGCCGAGACTAACGAACAATTATGTTCGATAATCGGAGGATCGTTGACTTTCAGCACGATAAAGAGCACCGTGTTGAAACTGTTGTGCAGGTGCGCGCTTTGAAACTGTGACCCATCAAATAATTTAAATTTTTAATTGAAATTGAAGTGATAATTTAACACGCGCTTGATTTTAGAATAAGAACAAAGTGTGGTCAAGGTTGTTCCTCGGGCGGCACTGGCTCTCAAGACGACGGAGGCTTTGGAAATGACGGTGTATACGCAATGACCACTTACAACATACAAACTGGTATTTTTTGTATTTATGTGTATTGATATCTTTCATTGGTTTACGTTCGTATTTTATATTTTCTATGAATAATCCTTAGGCTATGCTCAATCGGGTCACAATACTTCTGGCTCGCAATCCATGGAGTCTGGCTGTCAACTAGGCGGTTCGACCGGTCGAGGTTCTCTTGGCCGTGCCAACGCAGGCTCCTTCAGCGGTAACAGAGGCTCGTTCGTCTCCGCGATGAAACCAACCAGCTCGACACTCGCCAGTTTAGCCGGATTGCTCAGTAACAGCGAGAAAACGGAAACGAAGAGTGAAACGAGCAAAGAGGAAGTTTATCAGAGAGTTCGCGTAAGTATCGCAATGTGTAAAATGCGCGTTTATAAAACTAGACTCAGATGCAAATCAATTATTGTGCGTTCTGATCCGGTACACGAAGAAAGTAGTTGACAATTGTTATCACGTTTGAATCCACAAAATGGATCGTTTTGATTTTCTTTTTGTTTCTAACAGATAATGGATCCTAATCAGGTATATGACGCGATCAATCTTGGTCGACGCATAGACGTGATTTGGCCGGACGAGAGAATGAGACAGCAAGGCGGTCGTTCCGGCTGGCAACATTGGGTGCCGGAGAGAGGTATGGAGGGTTGCGTGGTTCATCGTTGGTCGCCGAACCATCGCGATCCAAATCGACGTTCGCACGTCGACAAAGTCATTCTGCTCGTCAAGATCGAGGACAAATACGTGCCGATAGCTGAGCAAGGCGTGCGGGATTTGGGAGCGGAAGTTTAGCATATTCCCGAAAGCAGCACAGAAACGTTAATATAGCTTTTATACGCTTTTTCCTCGACCCGCAAACACGCGATAGCGCGTACCCATCAACGAGAGAGACGTAGAGTTAATTTCTAACAAAAAACAAAAAAAAAACAAAAAAAAAAAACAAATCTATGCATTAATAATATCGAACGCTAGTTTCCTACTTTCATGAAGTCAATACTCGCCATTAAGCGGACTAACTTAAGAAGATTCGGATCAACGACATGCTGAATCACGTAAATATGTTATTGTCACAACTCGTTTTCAATTGATGCTCTTTATTTGAGATATCAATACGTTCCATTTTTCTCTTGTAAAATTGTCTTTTACAAACTCTTAGTGTCTTTGTACGTTGTTGCCCCCATTTTTTATCAATCGCTTTATTTTTATGGGTTGGATGTTTCGTCGAATACAATTCAATGGAATTTATCATCATCGAAGTTAGATGTTCGGGTTTTCGCACTTTTATCCCCATTACAGCTCTTTCTGGATACTCGCTGTAGCTATCTTGGATGATGAACGAACAGTATAAATTTTCTCTGTGAATTTCTTCGAAAATGTAGCTTCACGCAAGAAAATTCTTCTTTTTTATTTACCTAAAATTACAGCCATCTCTTAAGCGTTACATTTCCTCACTTCTAACATGATTGATTATTCAAAATTGCTGCGGCGAGCGTCCGGGAGCCTTAAACTGTTAAAGTTTTTCACTCCAGTGAACTTTTATACTAGAATGTCCTCACGCTTTAGACGGTTTAGACTCTAGAGACTCGACCACCAATTTAAGAGAAATAAGTTGCTATATATTGCATCGAATAGATTTTTCCCATGTTTTTAATACCTGCTGTATAGATTATAGATAGTACAAAGACACACACACACTCACACACACAAGACAGAAAACTCTTTTCAGTCTCAATTTATTCTGTCTTTTTCTCGCTATTGTTTCATCAGAGCCTTGAAAAAAAAAAAAAAAAACAGTATAGTATAGAGTTCACTGTTTTTGTACTCTTCGAATGTTCCCAGACGAAACGCCAACACGTTGAAACAAATCGAGAGTTGTAAAGCCTGTATAGAAAGAAGGATAAACGCATATTTTGTCATCGTGTAACTATCGCAGATACATACATATATATATATATATATACATACATACATATATATATATTATTGTTACTTCTCTCGTGAGTCGCATGAAGAAGGCAGAGAACGCCAAGCGCCATGTTACTCCGAAAACCGAATTGTATCATGTTGTATTATACATTGTGTATTATAATACGATGTTATTTGCAGAGATAAACAGATGTTACTTGTTGCCCGATGTATCTAGATTATTTACTACGGATTATAACAGGAGAAACGCAGCGCGTACGGACGCGTTTCTCTCTTCCAAGTAGCATGTAACGTAAATGTGGTACGTATATTTTTTTGGCGGTTGATTGAAAAAACAAAAACAAAAAAAAAACCAGAGAAGAAACGAATCGTGTAGTAATATAAAGCATACTATTTATGAATTATATACTTGTGTATTATACATTATATATATATATATATACATATATACATATATATATATATATATATATATATATATGTATATGTATATGTATATATATATAAAAGACGAGAGAAGATATATCTCTTATATACATATATATACTATCGTTGTATTATAGATGACACGCGATGGGTACAACAAAGTACGTAATCGGTACAACAACAAGTGGCATCGACAGAGAAATTTGTACATAAATTGTCATTCGTTTTTCTACATTTTGTTATAATTCTCTTTTTTTAAACTAAAAAAAAACAAAAAAAAAAAAACCAATGTAGATAGGTAAAATTGTAAATACACATCGCGCAACACACTTACTGCAGACCTCGAGAAGCGTCCAGAAATTTTTATTCTACCTGAGTCTGTATAAAATCTCGCGGGGCCATGGAAAAGATCGCCTCGTTACAGGAACATATCTCCGTGTGTGTACTGAAATAGCGGTATTATCTCCCTCCCTCTTTACAATACATTTCCCGCGCGCCACCGTGTATAAAAAAAAAAAAAAAAAAAGACAAAAAAGAAAAAAGCTCCTCGATAAACTCACACTTGACATTATTATACTTGTACGACAGGTAAGACCGCTAAGCCGACATTGCGTTTACATCTACGGGATATACATCTTGTGTTAGACGACGTGTTAAGTGTTCACGCGGAAATCACGTGTAAATGCACTGACGAATATACATACATATATATAAATGTTTTGATTTGATAAAATTACACGTTTGTTATTTTCGAAAGAGAATTACAAATAATTTGTTTTTCTAGTTTTTCTTTTTTTCTCTAGTTTGTACATAATTCTTGTAAACTAATTTTTGTTTTATGTTTTACGACAAATGTGTTGCGAAGTGATTCGGAAGACGTATTATACTAATTATTTAAATTTAAGTAATAAGAGAAGAAAAAAACAATATACACACATACCTACACATGGTTGCTTGCAAAAATTCTGTAAATTCGAAATTTATTATTAGATCGTCATTGTGCGTAATGTGTATATGGCAACTAAAAAGAAGAAAAATAGGTTTTTGCAAGTGACTACGGATTCACAGCATTGCCTTATCATGGTGTCTTGATAAACACCTGACTGATGACAAAAAAAAAAAAAAAAAGATTATAGCTAGTCTTTTAATTGTTGGTAACACATTCACGTATTGCTTGCTGCCGAAAGACGCGGGTGGGTGCTCTTTTATCACAGAAAGTTATAATATATATATATACTATATAGATATACACGTGGATTAATAATCTTTATTATATCTCTGGCCTACTATATTATCTTTAATGAGCAGTACTTTCATATACTGATTGTACGCGAATTTGTTTTACGTTCAACAATAAACGAAAAATTCAAAATCAGATTAGATAAATGATTTTATCTTGGCTTTACTGCCACGAAAAAATACGTAATTCGCAAGTTAAGTAGTCAATGAGGTAATTTATTCTTTAGGCTCGCGCGTGTAAACAGATTGAAATTATAAACTGTACAATTCAACAGATGTACAAAAAAGAAATTAGGCACTAAAACATTTACATTTTATTACTCTTAAAGAAAGTTAAAAGTTAATATATTAGGAAAATATACATATATATGTATATATACACATATAAAATACGTATTTTAAAAAAATACCATCGCGCGCACACATATATATCCATACAATACAACGCAAAAATACATAAAAAAAAATTTATTATCGCATATAAATCGAACTTCAAGTAATTTTTGTTAATTGTACATATCGAATATATAAGTGTTAAATAAATATACAAGCATCTCGAAACTATTGACAAAATAATTCGTATTTAAAAAGATATCGCGTGAGTTCACAGATTCTATGAGAACTGTCGTATAGATTTTTTTTTTTTTTTTTTAATTTCTTCACATAATAATATCATTTCTATAGCAGAGAATATTCTATGGAACATTTTCAATGTCTTAAGAAGAAACCGCTACTTTAATATCTAAGTTTGGTCGATTCGAGAATTAGAGTTATCGAATAAGCTCTGCATATTATAGAGTATTGTTATTTCGATATAATATATTAGATTTAACACAGTAAGTAGAGAGCAGTGCATAGATTTTTATATTGCATTAAGAGTTTTATATCTACACACACTCTCTATATAATATATATATATTTATATATATATATATATATATATATATGTATATATATATGTATATATAATATTATGTATATATATATAATACATACAACGTTTCACAACATAAATATATCTAAAAATTTTTCTCTATACAACGTTTATCTGATATTGATTAGATAAAAAAGGCCTTGAGTCACAGACGGAGTGAACTTGAAATTGACATTTTCTCTACACATATGAAAATAGTCTATAGAGAAAATGGAAGCATGAGGTGATTACACGTATATTATAGAAAGTTACCATTGTGCTTTACCACAACTACGTCTTGGTGTTCTCATTTTCTGTATTTATTGGTCCTTCGTGCGTTAGCTTCTGTATTAGATTCTCTATCATCTCGTTATTGACTAAACCAATGAACTTATCTACAACTAGGCCGTTTGAAATTGCTATTACCGCAGGTACAGCTTTCACCTCAAAAACATGCACTAATTCTGGATTTTCTTCCACATCGACTATGGCCAGATCTACTTTCTCCATAGGTTCTATGAGTTCAATTAGCTTGGGTGTTAATATTTTACACGGATCGCACCAATCCGCATGAAAATTAACTATGACCGGTACTGTGCCATTCATTACTTTGTTTACAAACTCACTATTGTTGTTTATCTCATACCGCTTATTACTTTGACGAAATAACGAAATACACCTTATCCCAGATGTTATGCAATTTCTTATGCCGCACAACATTGTCCCTTTTTTTTTTTTTTTGAAATGTTACGGTAAATTTAGAAAATTAACTATTTATATATGTGTACAATAATAAGCATTACATATTTGTAAAGCAAGTCTTGCACACAATACAGATCTTCATGCTCGTCAGAAAGGAGCACAAAGGTACCTGTATAAAAACAAATGTTGCATTATAAATTATATTAAAGAGAAATAATTTTTTTATCGTTAAACATAAAAGTTACAATATAAATCTCTTTGAGTTTATACAGTATCTTTATTGTTACACTTACTCAAATAAAAATATCAAACCTACCAAAGCAGATGAAATTATAACACCCAGCTGGATCTTCTGACTGGCCTAATAGGTTCCAGCAAACCAAATTTAATATATCCTACAAGGGAAACTAAGGAGGAGATGATTAGCAACACCAGGAGTAGTATGCGCCAAAGAAAAAGCCGATCATACACCTGTAAGGCACAAAAAAACTTGTCAATCATCAAGAACAAAAATCTATTTTTTATATTCTTGCAATGTAAACTACTGTGCTCACTATGTTACACTATTTTTACTGCTCCGTAACAATTTTTTTTCAAATTTCAAATCGATAGAACAAAACAGTTTTCACTGACAAATTTGCAGTTTACAAAATGTCATCACAAACAATTCCTGTATAAACGCGTGAAAAATATCTTTCCACAAAAGTGAAAAGCTAAACTTTTAGCGCGAGTCACGCTTTAGTCGAACTATTATGTCAATATTTGTATTTTTTTATGTATTGTGCGACTTGCAAAGTAACAAGACTGTTAACTTGATCGTAACGCTCGGAAGTGTCAAAAATATAAGACCAGAATCTGTTAAACCCTGTGTCATTTTTTGTGTGCGCTACGTCAAGAGAGAGAGAGAGAGAATATATAAATAAATTCTATAAATAAATGCATCGCGTCAGAGAGTTACAAAAAGAAACTGCCGCTTACCTTGCTCTCAGAAGGAACGGACTTTTCGGATGCACGCGGCACGCAGATCAAAATGATCGTGATCGCGCTCACGAGCAGTATAGCGATCACACCGATCTTCTTCTCAACGCGCAGCGATATCACAAATATCAACGCGGCCAGCACCCACAAGCTCAAGATGATAAACAGTCCTACGCCGATTCCAAATATCAGGGCGGTCATACTTCCGAGCGACGGAGAGAGAGACGCGTACGTGAGAGCATGATGTAAGAATACAAACCGTATAAAGTGTATTATTCCCGAGATGCGCGGTGTTTGACCAATCAGAGAATTGCCCCAAGTTCATTGAGACGACAGAAAGGATGTGGACAAAACATCTTTTAAAACTTTGATTACATTTATATTTTTTAAATAACTTTTTTTGGAATTTCGTTATTTTAATTTTACAGTAAAAGTTCAAAGATCTTTGTGCGCACAATTTTATTCATTTTTCTACGATCAATGTGAGAGATGTGACCATTTTTCACTGAAAGTTCAAGCAAGAAAGTCGGTCGCCACGGGATAAATTTCAAATTTGTTAACGGAATCGCAGAAAGTTACAAGAGTTCCGCTACCAGAGGAGTAGACGGAAGAGGTGAACTGATTCAGCGAATAACTTCGCGATATTAGAAGATTATAAGTTGAAGAAGTAAACGTTATTATAGAAACAGACGGGACGACGCAACTTTTAACTCTTAGGGTCATTTTACAGTGAGTTGAAAATGTCCCATTGCCAGTTGCGAAAGGTAGCAATTACGAAAAGAAAAATATTATTTCTGGTTGCGCTTTGTCGTTGTGGTTGCTAAAAGAGAGTTGGTCAACTTTTAACTTTTTGTCAACAGCAACTGGCAACCGCAGCGCGTAAAATAATACTTTTTCCCTAGTAGTTGCAACTGGCGACGAGACATTGGGTGCGTTCAGACAACTCAACGGTTGAGAGATCATCACTTATGATAGGACTATTCTTCAAAATCTGCTGCGGTTCCAAAAGTATGATCCAATCAGAAGTGATTATCTCTCAACCGTTGTGCAACTGTTGAGTTGTCTGAACGCAACCATTTTCACCTCATTAGGTCTGTTCTTTTTACCTGAACTGACTGCACTATAATATAATATAATAATAATCTAATATAATTGTTTATTTAATGGCTATATATAATAGTATATAATTTTTTAAACGAGACTTACAATGTACGTTTTTTCTATATACCGGAGACATTATAATTTTATTTACTACACACATATATACACATACATGTTATTTGTTAACGTTAGATGGCCAATACGTTTTGAGAAGAAAATTGAAAAAAAGAATAGTTACATTATCGACACGACGTAGTTGCGAACAACCAATTGCTACTATTTAGTTCGTACGGCGCTCGCTGGCGCTACGAGCAACCGCCTCGCTTGCTCTCCGATCCCCGCGCCAACTCCGCGAATTTTTGACGCCGTCTGTACCAAACCAAACCTAATCTAACTGGAAAGCTCCCATTACCGCTACCAGAGAGAAGCCTGAGAGCGGCCAGGCCCATAAGAGTTTTTGGGTACCATTATTCCGGCCCGTAAGCTAGCGCATGTCCATGGGTGGTGCACATTGGCAACTACGTAGCGATGTCCACGAGCGAGTTGTCGATACGTATGCTA